GTGTACAAAAAAGGCGATAAACGAGAGGTTTCAAACTACAGAGGAATCGCTGCACTACGTCGCTACGTCTAAACTATTTGAGCTGATTGTCCTCGACTTCCTCAAGCATCATTGTCTCAACTACGTTTCCGCGACACAACATGGGTTCATGCCGAAGAGATCCACCTGCACCAATCTGGTTCCATACACGTCCTTTATCATCAAGACTATAGAAGCTCACAAGCAGGTCGATGTCATTTATACTGATTTTTCAGCTGCTTTCGATAAAATCAACCATGAAATCTTGATCGCAAAGCTTGAACGGCTTGGTTTCTCTGGTTCGTTGCTAGATTGGCTAAACTCTTATCTGGTTGGTCGTTCAATGTCGGTCAAAATTGGCAATACTATATCAGAACCATTCCATGTCACATCTGGTGTTGGCAGTCATATTGGACCATTCTTATTCTTGCTGTACCTGAATGACGTCAACCTAGTGCTCAAATGTTTTAAGCTCTCGTATGCCGATGACTTCAAACTCTATTATGTAATAACCTGTGAAGAATATGCACATTTCCTTCAGAAAGAACTTAACCTTTTTTTTCAAATGGTGCGCAACTAATCGTATGAGCTTGAATGCCAACAAATGCTCAGTAATTTCCTTTGGACGTAAACGTTCTGTCATTTCATTTGATTACACCATTGCCGGAATATCTCTAAAGAGAGAATCTACTGTTGAGGATTTGGGTGTTCTCTTAGATTCGAAACTTACTTTTAAAGATCATGTGGGATATATAACCTCCAAAGCTTCTAAATGCCTGGGCTTTATTTTTCGTGCTGCAAAATAATTCTCGAATATTCTCTGTTTGAAGACCCTGTATTGTTCTTTAGTTCGATCTACATTGGAGTATGCAGTTGTGGTCTGGGCTCATTACTATCAGAACAACGTACAGCAAGTAGAAGCTATCCAACATACACACCTAAAAATTTTCGCCGAGATTCCAACAGCCGAGTAGTTCTGCAATTTGTTTTGCTGAGATTCAGTAAAACAATTGCCGAGACTCAGCTAACAAATAACTAATTGCTGAAATATCAGCTAACAAACAGATATTTTGCAGATATATCAGCCGAGGTAATCGGCTGTTGGAGATTTTACCGAGCTAGATTAAGTGTGTAAGTTTATTCGCTTTGCTCTTCGACGTTTGCCTTGGAATGATCCATATAATCTCCCTAGATATGAAGATCGTTGTAAATTAATTGAACTTGACCTTCTGGAGGTTCGTAGGAATGTCACTAAAGCTTGTTTCATATCTGATGTGGTTCAATCTCACATTGATTGTCCTACCACAAACGAAGTGACAGACGGAGCGGCTCGAAAACTTTGGTGACTAACCTGCTATTGTAATTTTTCAGTGTACCACATGGCAACACCACTACTACTGGATTGTACCACATGGCAACACTACTACTGGATTGAACTAGCATTTTCACCAAATGTACTAGAATGTTTTGGTTCTATCTCTTTCACTCTACTCAAAACTGAAATGCATAAAAAAATGACAAAATGATACGCACTCTTTGCACACTGTCAAAGAATCATTGTACACAAAATCAACTTTGTGCAAAACCAAAACAAAAATACTATCCCATCTGGTGGATGATGGCAGAAGCTTCTAGGAAAATTCTCTTACAGCTAACCACATTATTTTAATTGATTTCTTCGCCAGTTAGTCGTCTGTCACTTCGTTTGTGGTCCTACAGTGGTACGTGAGTTGAATTTTGATATTCGTCGTCGTACTCTCAGTTCTCATCAATGTATGCGTATATCGACATTCCGTACTAATTATGGCTATAATGAGCCTTTAAGTAGTATGTGTCGTGTGTTCAACCGTTGTTACCATGTCTTCGACTTTCATCTGTCACGTCCCATTAATAAAAATAGGTTCCGTGAAGTGCTCAGTTAGTAAAATATAGGTAGCAGTAAGAATTAGAATAAGGTCGTATTTTGTTTAGTCTTAAGTTAATAATGTATCATTTGGAATGTACTGTTCTGTTGATGCGAAAAGATGAGGAGGTTTTATGCCTATTTGAGAAAAAAAGCTTTTAAAAGCTCCACTCAAATGGGCTTTTCCTTGCTCCCAATAAAGAATAAATAATAAAGAATAAAACACATGACGCCCATCTGCCTCCAATTGCAAACAATACCAGATGGACAAGTACGTATACCTCATGCTGAAATCGCTACCAGAAACCATTTTTCAATTTATTGAAAAGTAGCTTTCCGGAAACAGGTGACATTGAAATTCAAACATTATCATATAAATATCTATATGATAAACCTAAACATTAACTAATTTCAGATTTGACTAGACACTGGCAGCACCGACAAACCGACATGACACTTAATTCTGACTTATGCCCGAATATCATAAACGGCCTATTTAAATGTGCAGTGATCCGAACTGTCAAAACCATAGGATTTTTTTATCTAGATAAAAATAATTTGTCCAGAATAGATCAGACACGAACGAATTCATAACTTTTGCATGCGGGGTCATGGCTTGGCTAAATATTTCCCACGAACACGGAGCCAGATGTCATTAGTGTGCGTTGGTGAGAAATTTTATTGTTTTTGCTATGGTCATTCATGTCGGTTTGTCGGTGCTGGCAGTTCATCGCTAATTTCTGCGAAGCGTTTGAACCCGCATTCTTGCTTACTTTAAAACTGCAAAAAGAGCATGTTCTTCTGTCAGAGTTTTATGCATGTTGGCTGTTATGCCAAGCACAGCTTTCCAAGCATACTACCAAGGTGCTTGCAAAACGTTTACTGGAGGCTTTTAAAATGCGAGCGAAGAAATTGATCTGTTCCATGCAGTTCAAATCCTATATTTACCTTGACCCAAGGTTCAATTTTCTTAAATCACAACGAATTTCATCAGAGGACAAAGAAAAGATGATTTTCGGCAGTATTTTTGTTTTAAAATCAATTTCAAAAAGTCTTAAACATCCAAAGTGTTTAAAAAAAAATATGAAATAAATATAATATTTCAATTGAATGTAGTTTGCTTCCGATTTGGAAGTTCTCGACTCCATTACCGAATGTATCGGATTCGGTTCTCGGGTCGGTCCGGAGTACGTGAGCTCCTAATTTCGAAGCAAATTAGATTCAAATGACATATGTTATTTCATGTATCAATCCCACACATTTTAAATTTCGTTTGGGTGTTTAAGGCTTTTTAAAATTTATTTAAAAAAATATAAACCGGCTAGTACTGAATGTAACGAAAATCAGCCCCAATGCATTTAATTTCATCAACATCAGATACTTGAAAGCTCAACGGCGCCGGTGGTGTAGTGGTAAGCGTGATTACCTCTCACCCCAGCAGGCCTGGGTTCAATCCCAGTCGGCGCCGCCGGGATGTTCTGAGGCATAACATCGCTGATCACGCCTTCCTTCGGATGGGAAGTAAAGCCGTTGGTCCCCGGTTCATGAGTTGATGGGTCGATAGGTAGGGTCCAGGTGTGGGAGCTGCCTTCCTGGCACGTCGGTAGCATTGGTGCTCAGCACGGAAAACAATATCGACGGAAAAAACAAACCAAAGGAAAAAAAAAAAAGATACTTGAAAGAGAATCATTAAAGTTAATGCGAATGAATGATTTTTCCCACCCTTGCACTGGGGTTTTGAAGTCAATGGAATACAATTTTCGTCCGAGCATACCATGGCTGGATATTTCAGTGTTTAACGATTCAATCGCTGTGAAATTTTTCGGAGATAAGCTTGCAGGCAAATTGCACCACTGCTTTTGACCATATTACGCATGACGAAATTTTGCTACGATACGAATACGAATTTAATCAAACGTAAAATTTGACGTTCTACAACTTTTCCGCCGACAGCACAGTTGTTATTATTTTATTTCTAACACGATTTCATTTCTGGCTCACTGTGAACTGCTTTAAAGTGTGTCTGGTGTAATTAATTTAATTACAGCGAATTTCTTAAAAGCTAAATTTCTATTTTTGTTTTACCAAAAGAGTGATGCGACCGTTTATGACGTTTCCATTCATGTTTACTCCTGCAATCAAACTTCCATTTCAAATTCCAACACTTTCAGCTATAGCTCAAAGCACTGCTGGAATTTGGGTAGCACCCGTCGTAAATCATCAAGAGGGTTCGCTTTTCGACTTGAATCGATCGCAGCGCTCCACCGGTGGCTGTCAAAATCAGATCATTTCGGTCGAAATTTTCAACCACTTTCGAGAAATGAAATCACTCAAAAGTGGCCTTTCCCGATCAGTTTTGATTGCTTTGCATGCCTAATTCGATCGATCGGGCTTCGATGCATGTGAATCAAAGGAAATTGATTGCTGTGCGGTGCTATTAAGGCTCAATTGATGGTAGCCCGATTGTCCGGTTCTCGAATGGATCCCATCGGGTACCACCTGAATGCGATTCGAGCAGGTACAACGACAGAGCATGCTCGAAATGCGTTCGGTTCCGATCGGCATCGTTCGGGTCGTGATCGGCAAAATATGCCCTATCGGAAGGTGGGATTTGGTGTGAAGTTGACAGAAATATTGGAAAATTAGCTTGGAATTTTAGATTTTAATGTCTAGAGATGTTTTGGTTCTATTGGGGCGATGTTTGATGTTTAAGTGAGAGGATGAAATTGAAGTCTATGTCAATTGATTGTTTTTCTTACGCTTTTAGCGCTTCAGATCAAGTTAATTAGGATTGTTTGTGCGGAAGCAATAATCGAGTTTCCTCTAAAGATGTGAAACTTTAGCGAGACTTATGAATGGAAAGTAGTAAATCAATGAAGTTTGCGTGGTTTGGAATCAACTTTGGCCCAAAAATGTTCAAATTTTGCATGATTTAATTGAAAACAGCTGTTTTAGACTCCGCCCCTTTTGAGGAAATTCGTTCGTGCCGGTTCGGTGCCAAACTGCCGATAGGGCACAGCAGGAAAGTTACCAGGGAGGGGATCCTTCAGTTCTAAATTTACCATTTGGAATATTTCTTGAATACAAGTAACGACGATGTGCGATGTGATTATGTGTTGCAACAATAAAATAAAAATGTTCTCTCTGAATCAAATTGCACATGGCGGCCATAAAACACCATGGAAGAAACTCTCCGTAGAAAATAGACCAAAAACAGGTAAAATATTGCCGTTTCCGGACTGATTCCGGGCTTGGATTGGCGCTAAAGTGTCGCGCTAGCGGAGAAATGTGAAGTTTAGTGAAAATTTCGGCGAATTTCGGTGAAATGTGGCGAATTAATTTTTCACTTTCGGAAAGCGAAATTAATCATGATTTTCCTGTTCCCATTTTTTTTCGTTGTGTGCTGTTGCGCTACTAATATGAGGGGCCGTGCGGAGCGCTACCGAGCGATTCTTCCGGGTCCAATGATTTCCATGGAGATTTAATTCATAGTTTAGTCAGTATTTTTAATTGAAAACTGTTGATCCGAAACTTAACTAACTCGTTAAATCTGTTTATTGGATTTAATTTCGGATATATTATGAATTTAGGGACAATTAATGACTCATTAAACTAAATTGCATGAAATTATGGCGGAATTCATTGGAAATACCATGGAAACGGGTGGAAAAGGGTCGCAAAAATCGCTCATGTTCTAGTAATATCGAGTGATGCTCCGCCACCAATCGGCATCGTAACAGAGAGCGCCTCGCACTGTGTGCTGTAGAGTGATTTTTGAAAACCAGCAGACACATGAACTCTCGGGATATCGAAGAGCATAGTGTGGATAGTGGAAGAGTGTGTACGGACGGAAGGAAGACAAGAGTCGATGTCTCGCGTGCGTGTATTGTAATGGTGGTACGGCGTCGGACATACGAGTGTGCTTTGCGGGACGCGTGTTGGCCGGCCACTGCCGCCAGAGAGGGCACGTCGAAATACCGAAACCGATGACGACGGAATACGGTGGTTGCTTGATGTTCGTTCTCTCGTTTTCTCTTGATATGACTCTTTTCGGTGTGATTTTTTTTTGAGTTTGAGCATTCGGGTGAATACACAAAGTATTACGTTGAGTGGAGTGGATATATGGGATATATGGACGATTATCAACGCTGTTTCGGATAAAGTATAGAACAATTATAAATTTATTTGATTTTTAAAAATCTTGGTTGTAAAAAGTGTCACTTTCAGAAGTGAATTAAATAGTAGTAGTATTTTTAAACTATCAATTAGAACAGGTTTTTTTCAAATGTTTATGAAAGGTTACAAACGATTATTCAAGTATAATTAGCTAACACATTTTGAGTTTTGAATACTCCTAATCCTTTGTAATATTTGTATATTACAATTTGTAACTCTGAAAATAATACACTTTACTAATATTCCAGTGAGGTATTTAAAAGTTCTCAAGTTGAAAATAGTTATATTAACCGTTCAGCTCAGTGTATGAATGTTCAACTGAACGGTATTACGACGCACATGTGTTGAATCATTGCCCTAATACTACGATATCCGACTCGCTTCTTATGCCATCCGAGACAGCCGTCTGGTTAAATGCCGCAGTACCGATTCCATGGCATAAACTCTGGTTGGCCCGGTATGACTAGGCATGTAAGAAAGGGAGCTTACAGCAACGGTAACTTTTATGCGTTTAAAAAATGGTGAATACCTTTTCTTCGCTAATCGTTACTCTAATAACTGCGCAATGGAAAGTGAATATGTGATGATATCGATGAGACACAGTGAAATTTGACACCCCCGTTCTTTTGTGTGGTGTGGTATCGGTGTATGGTGGAGAACGAGCGAAATGGGATAAAGCTATTTGGCGTATCACGTCAGCAGCGTGCCTGCAAATGGGGTCGCATCCGCTATGGCGATTTAAATTGCGAATTGAAATAGGGCATGGTGAAAACCGGTGCAGCTGATCGGCTTTGCCAAATTTGGTTTCGTTTTCTGTAGGCTTACTTCAGGAGATAATTGTGACTGCGGGACAGTGTTGGGTGTGCAATTTGAAAAAAAGTTTTGCATTGAATTATGAAACCAACTTGATTATTTTACGGTTTTCGATGGATGAACCATGTATTTTAAAGGGCAAGACAGTTCTTGCTTATATAAGTGGATTAACCTGCATTGTATAAAAAGCTGAATTAATCCACCTATGGTGAGATTTGACCCTTCTTACATCATCACTCACAAAACCATAAAGGCACTACGTAGAAAGATGGGCGCTGCCACAAGGGCAGTCTCCCTGTGGACATCACTGACTGGCTTCCAACTGTCAGCCGAAAAATGCACACTAGTGCACTTCTGCTCTCACCATCTTGCCGTCCTTAACACTCCTGTCTATATCAATGGTACAGCTATTCCCATCAGGAGGTCAGCCCGTATCCTCGGAGTTCGAATTGACCGATATTTGACCTTTTTCTATTTTTCGAAATTCTAGTACTACACTATGTTTGTTATGATTCGCTATGAAAATTTGACAGATAAAATGAGGGGTTCGTGGATTTTCCTATGTTTCGAAGGGTGCATCGAAAAGCTTGGGACCGAAGAGAGTACCAGAGCTGAGCCAAAAAGTTGAGCACGTTTCTTCGGGACCTTCTAGTCTTAGAGTTACCTCTATGGTACTACATGGTACTACCAACAATCAATACGAAACTAACAATTTTAAATTGGCTCACCACTTTAGTAGCCTATTGGTCCCAAGCAAACGATTAACGTACCCTATTCTAGTTGAAATTCTATTACTACACTATGTTTGTTTTGATTCGCTATGAAAGTTTGACAGATAACATCAGGGGTGTGTGGATTCATGCAGAACATGCAGGGGTGAGCGAAATAGCTTGGGACTGCTTGGGACCGTTGTTCTGGTACTGAGTGAGCCAAAAATAATAATGATTTTCTTCGGGACCTACTAGTCTTAGAGTTACCTCTATGGTACTACCATAGAGGTAACTCTAAGACTTGAAGGTCCCGAAATAACGTGCTCAACTTTTTGGCTCAGCTCTGGTACTCTCTTCGGTCCCAAGCTAATCGATTCACCCCTCGAAACATAGGAAAAACCAATAACCCCTCATTTTATCTGTCAAACTTTCATAGCGAATCAAAACAAACATTGCGTAGTACTAGATTTCGACTAGAATGGGGTACGTTAATCGTTTGCTTGGGACCAATAGGCTAGTCAAGTAGTGAGCCAATTTAAAATCGTTAGTTTCGTATTGATTGTTGGTACTACCATAGAGGTAACTCCAAGACCGAAGGTCCCGAAGAAATGTGCTCAACTTTTTGGCTCAGCTCTAGTACTCTCTTCGGTCCCAAGCAATTCGATGTACCCCTCGAAACATTGGAAAATCCACGAGCCCCTCATTTTATCTGTCAAACTTTCATAGCGAATCAAAACAAACATAGTGTAGTACTAGAATTTCGACTAGAATAGGGTACGTTAATCGATTTGCTTGGGACCCATTAGTGAGCCAAGTAGTGAGCCAATTTAAAATCGCTAGTTTCCACCGGTTGGTACTACCATTCAACCTTCTAGTTACTCAGACCATCTGCAACCGATCAATTAACTTCAAGGAGAAGACAGCTGGCTCAGATGAAGGAGTTTTCCTCCAACTCCTTTCAGCCATCGCCAATCTGGAGCTCCCCCCGGTGTCTAGCATACATTGGTGTGGAGCCAGAGATTGGAACCTGCCCTGGCTTATTATCGACATGGAGATGAAGAAAAAGTTCAAGGCAGGATCCAACTCTACGGCACTTGTGAGATCCGTTGCAGAACTCCAGAGAACCAGATACTGCTACCACACTATCCGTTACTTCGATGGATCGGTTTCCCGTGAAGGGGTTGGCATCGACACAACGGGCCCCCAAATGTCCGTACTTCATCGACTTCCAGACCAGTATCTGCTTTAATTGCTGCTACCACTCGCTCAAACAAGCCTATTGCCGTATCTACGGCCTCCGCAAGTGTAGTTCTAGCCCTCAACTCAGACTCTATCAAGCACTCATGGATCCAAGCCATTCAGCGGTATGCCCCCAGAAACACTACATTTGTATGGATTCCGGATCACTGCGGCATTCGTGGTAATACGGAGGTGGATCATCCAGTGGCTTCTGGAAGACAAGCCGAACTGTTTACCAATTGGTTGCCAACAAAATCTGGGACTTATGGTCACATACATGGTCCCAATCAACAAGCATTTTCCTTAGAAAAGTGAAGGCTGACACACGAAGATGGGAAGACCCCCCTGGCCACCGAACTCAGGTTGTCCAGAACAGGCCATACCCGAGTCTCGCATATCATTTCAAGGAGCGGCCCGTTCCGGAAATTTTGCGAGCTCTGCCGCACCAACCGTTCGGTGGAACATATAATCTGCCACTGTACTCAATACGAAGGCTCACGAGAGCTGTACGGCATAACGGGCAGCACTGAGTAACAACCCGACTAGAATCACAGCATTAAGTACTGAGGTTGCCAATGTGCTGTCTTTCTTCGGAGTTTTGATTGCTAAGTTGCTGAGGATCTTGCTTTGTTTTGCGATGTTGGGTGATAAGAGAAAGTCCATTTCTAGATAGAGCTGGACTTAGGGCCTAACAGCTTTTGTAAACAATGGCTTCTCTTGATGATTTCTAGAAATTTAAGGCTGGGCCACGCAAACCAACATCCTCATCGGGTAGAGAAAGACTTCCCCCATCCGACGGTTAGGTTGGTCTGCGTGGACGTGCCTTGAATTCCTAGAAATCATCGATAGAAGTCATTATTTACAAAAGCTGTTACGCCCTAAATCATGCTCTATCTAGATTTGTATTGCGGTGGTCGGGATTTTGGCAGGTTTCATATTTGATCGAAGAGGCCGGCCTCGCGGAGGAAGCCCATTAAACTAGAGGAAGCCTCTTATAGACCTCCTAACATGATAAAAAAGGAGAAAAAAAAACTTTGTAACTAGATGAGGTCCCTTCTGGATCCCACACTATCTTTTCAGAGACGAACCAGCCAACGGCTGAAAGTCTCTATAATAAAGAAATGAATCAACCTTTCTTCCATATTGATGTAATGTGTTCTATGATGGGTTTTGTTCCTTGAAAGGGAACTGAAAACTTCCCAAGGTGCACCCGGAACATGTCCAGGTGTGTCTAATGTGAACCTGACCTTTTAATATAACCACAATTGCACTTGTTTTTGAATTTTCATAAGAATTTAGGTGCCGCATGATGGGTTTTGATCCAAGTCAGAAACTGGTGGTCCTGGGCACTTGATATAATCATCATTGCAATTCTTGTTGAGTTCTCATGTGATTTGAGGTGTCGCATGATGGGTTTTGGTCCAAACCAAAAACTGGCCACTTCCCCTGGGGTACCCGGAAAATATCCGTATGTGTCAAATTTCTTCCTGAACGCTCAATATGCTAACCATTGATCTTCTTTTTAAGTTCTCATGTGATTTTAGATGCCACATGATGGGTTTAACATGATTCAGGCCGTTTCTAGACTCTCGACACATATTCACCGGAACATGTTCCGGCCATATCTCCGGAATCAGATAACTGATTACAAAAATATTCTTCTATTGAACCACAATACTTTTCACTTGGCGATTGTTGCGTCCTATTCGGTTCAGAGGTCGACCGGAAGTGGAAAACGAAGGCTTTGTACGAGGATCTTTTCATTGAAGATCTCCGTGTGGATAGGGGCCCCGCGGATCTGAACGCGGACGAGCTGACGTTAGGGAGAGCATGTTGCACGACTATGCCGACGAAATTGGAGCCAAATAACAGACTGGTGGAACGAGGCACATAGCACCCTCCCTAGTTGTCTCAGAATCTGATGACGTGTTCTGCGAGCAAGAACAGAAGCAGATAGAGAGGAACGTAGAGGAGTAATCCATGCGGCCAGGGCCGTACTTGAATGAGAGATAACGCAGAGCAAGTCAAACTGTTCTAACGAGCTGTGTCGAGACGCCAATGCCAACCACTGGGGCGACGCATACCGTGTCAGAGGTCCAACGACGCTCGCTTGAATGTGCACAGAGAAGCTAAAAGTCATCGTGGAAGGACTTTTCCCGAAGGACGACCCAACGACCAGACGGAGAGGGAGATAACGTAGAAACCACAAACGATGAACTCGTAGCAGTGGCGAATGGATTGAAGGTGAAGAAAGCTCCCGGTTTGGAAGGAATCCACAACGTGGCGTTGAAAGCGGTGATGGTACTGCTGAAATGCCTGGACGAGGTTCACTTCCTTGACAGGTGGAAGATACAGAAGCACTGGGGGGCCAGTGTTGCTGCCGAAACCAGGAAAACCGCCGGGGAATCCAGCATCGTATAGGTATATATGCCTGCTGGATACACCCGGAAAACTATTGTAGAAGATCATCCTAAACAGGATGACGAAATGCAAGGAAAGTGAACACGGATTGATGTAGTTCGGATTCCGGAAAGGGAGATCAACGGTGGATGCAATTCGGACAGCAGTCGAGAGAGCCGAGGAGGCATCCAAACAAAAGCGGAGAGAAGATCGATATTGCGCCGTGATAACAATCGACGTCAAAAATGCGTTCAACAGCGCCAGCTGGGAGGCCATCGCCGAAGCGCTGCATAGAAGAAGGGTCCCTGAGTACCTGTTCCAGGATCCTGAGGAGTTACTTTCAGAATCGGGTTTTGGTCTACGAGACGGACATGGAACAGAGATCGATTAGGATCACGGCGGGAGTTCCAGAACGCTCTGGAACGGGATGTACAACGGCGTGCTAACTAACGCTGAAGTTGCACAAAGGAGTTGAGACCTTTGACTTTGCGGACGACGTCGTCTTGACGGTAATACATGAGTAAACCGATGTTCGGTTATTCCAGCTTGAATTCATTTTTTGTCAACCGAGTTTTTTCGGTAAGTTTGACAGATTGTTTGAAATGAAAATTTAACAAAAGCTCGGTTGTTCCTTCTTGAACCAAACAGACTAGCGAGCGTTCAGCAAATAAAAATTCGGTTGAATTGAACCGAGTTTGGTATTATTTTAGGTGTGTACCATAGGAAAAGTGGACAGAATCTGTCTTGAGTCAAATCTCATGATGCGATATGTTATCTAACATTCTAAATTGTTTAGAAACAATCATAAAAATATAGCTGTGACCTTGTGTTATAGTTTATTTAATGAAGTCATCATTATTATTCTAATGGGACTGATTTGCCATTCCTTTCCGTTGTCAAGTGTCGATAATCGGTTGCTGTACGTGACGAATAAGCATGGAATCATTGTCCGGTGGGGCCTGGCCAAGCGAGAACGGTTGGTGGTGACAATAAAGGCGCAGAACACGGTCGTTATTTCGCAGGGCATTTCGAAGGATCTGAAGTTTTTGGCGGTGGCCGATGAGATCAAGAGGTGGACGGAGCGACACTGGAGACACTTTGAGTGGACAAAAGATAGAACTGTCTCGAAAACGCTGCATTATTTCCGAGGGAAGTGATTACTCTATATGCATTGGGAAAATTGTGGAAGAATCGCAGTTGGTGTGCAACTGTCTTCCCAGCTTGAGTGTGTTACGGTTACGAATATTTCGTATTCTCTCACTGGTAATCATACCTTAAAAATGTTGCTATTGATAAAAAAAAATCATCTGGATAACACTGGATGAATTAATCAAAATTTCAAACATTTACTGTTTGATTGGAAGCGTCCAAAACAACTGGAAGAATCTAGTTTAAACGGGAATGTTGGCATCACTGCATTCATCACGAAACGGTTGCTTTCCAAAGTCGACGACGCATCGATCGAAAGAACTGCTGATGAAGAAAAATGAGGAGAACCACACAATAAATGGTTGCTGCCGAGTAAACAGACGATCGCGTGACACACATTGAGAGTGGCCTGCTTCTGTCGACAGCCGAGTGAACACTGTTTTTAAGGATTAGTGTCACAGGTGTCACATGACTTTTAACTTAAAATACGTTTGAATAAATCTAGCTTATTTTTGTGAATAGAGCAAACTATGTTACGTTTATAATTACTGTATTGTATAATAATACTAATTCAAAATTGATAAAAATGCAGATGGTACTGTTCTGGAGTTCTGGACTGACTTGCGTTCAATTTTGGGCAGTATTTTTATTTGATATTCGCAGTGTGCCTCATTTTGCATGTGTGTGGGTGTGTTCGGTCGTTTAGTTAAAGCCGCGGCATGACGTCAGTTGACAGCTCATTGTTGTGTGCGCGTTTCTTCTGTTTCCTTCGGACCGAATTCCTCCGCTCCGCAGCGTGTTCATAAAAGTGCGTTCGATCCTTGCTATTTTCCGGATTTTTTCCCCCTATATTTTCCAATCGAAAAACAAAAAACTCATCCCACTTCCTTCCGCAGATATCCCGCCATCAGAGCATCGCAAAAGCAGAAGAAGGAAACACCAGAACGCACCTGATTTTGGGGGCTTCTACCGGGAGCTACCTCGGAACGCCGTGTTCGTTTTCTCCGGCGGCCGTTCCAGCCCCAGTAGCCAGATCATCCGACGGTGAATAGACTGCGTAAGTTGCAAGCAGCCAGCACAATGACCACAACCCGGGAGGACGTCCTTTTGCAGATGGGCGAGGTACGCTTCAAGAAGGGCGACGGAACGCTCTACGTGATGAACGAGCGTATCGCCTGGATAGCGGAGCACCGGGATACGGTCGCAGTGTCCCACCGGTTTCAGGATATTAAAAGTAAGTTTTGCTTGTTGTCCGATTGTTTTTGGATGGTTCTGATTATTTCGGACACTTTGATTGCAGTGCAAAAAATCTCCCCGGAGGGCAAGCCCAAAATTCAGCTGCAGGTGGTTCTGCACGATGGCAACAGCTCGACGTTCCACTTCGTCAACCGGAACGGCCCCGCTGCACAGATGGCCGATCGCGACAAAGTGAAGGAATTGCTGCAGCAGTTGCTGCCGAATTTCAAGCGTAAGGTCGACAAGGAGCTGGAGGAGAAGAACCGGGTTCTGACGGAGAATCCGCAGCTGCTACAGCTGTACAAGGATCTCGTCATCACACAAGTGCTGCCTAGCGATGAGTTCTGGGCATCCTACGCGAAGCAATACACGGCCAAGGATCAGAGCAGCAAGCAGGATATCGGAGTGTCCGGAGCATTCCTGGCAGACATCAAGCCCCAGACGGATGGCTGCAATGGGCTGAGGTACAATCTCACATCGGACATCATCGAGTGCATCTTCAAGACGTATCCGGCCGTCAAGCGGAAACACGCAGAGAACGTTCCGGCCAAGCTGACCGAGTCGGAATTTTGGACCAAATTTTTTCAATCGCACTACTTCCATCGGGATCGAATCGCCGCCGGTACCAAAGATATCTTCACCGAGTGCAGCAAGATTGACGATCAGCAGTTGAAGCAGTCGGTGCAGGAGAATCTCGGCGATCCACTGTTGGATATTCGGTCCTTCGAGGACAACACCCTGGAGGAGGGTTTCTGCAGCAGTGCCGCCTCCAGTAGTAAGCAAACTGTGAATAGTGGCAACATTGTCCACCAGAGCATGATCAAACGGTTCAATCAGCACTCGTTCATGGTGCTGAAAACGTGCACAGATGTGAAGACGCTCAACCGGGGGATTGGATCGATTCTGAATGCCACTCCCGGGGTAAATCCAATGGTCAATGGAGAAATCAATGGCATGAAGGATAAATCCAAAGGAGTCTTGAACAACAACAACAATCTTATCAATGGATTTAGCAAGAAGGAGAAACGAGCTCACGAAAAAAATCACATTGCCAATGGGGACACCAATGGGACTATTTACCATGGCCCGGAGGAACCCTTCATAGAACCAACGATGAAACGTGCCCGTATTCTGGAAAAGATCCACTACGACGATCTGGAAGACGATGATGAAGCGAGCAACCAACCCAAGCAGCTGAACCTTACAAAAATCGAACGCTACCTGCATGGCCCGGTCCCGTCGTCCGGGGCGGCCAGCAGTGGTAGTTTTCACGATACTCAATCGGACTACGGTCTGCACGATATGGAATCGGTCAATGCGTACATTATGCAAGCTACCGAATCGTGGAACAATCGGACGCCGCACAAGGTGTTGGTCAGCGCCAAATCGGCTGTGAATGCCCTCGGAGAACTCAGCCCCGGTGGGGCACTGATGAGGGGCTTCCAGGAGCAGAGCTTAGCTCGTAAGTATCCTCTTTGTTCGGTTTTAAAGATAACCCTTGCTATTAAGTGTTCAATCGTGATTATAAGCTACCCCAGATCACGGTTGGTCAAAGGCAAGGCACAGCAAACTTCAGCTTCCACGCGGACTGTGCTTTCACATGTTGCCAGGATCCGTACTCAAAAAAAAAAGACAAATCACTATGAAGACATTATCTCCCATTCCTTTTATTATTAAACCATTCACTGTGACAAAACGGATTCAGAAAATTAATAGCTATTATTTCTCGCCGCCTCCCCGCAGAACTTGTGCCTCCCGATATCGAGAAGGAAATCCGTAATCTCTACCTATCGCTGCTGGAACTGTTGAAGCACTTTTGGAAGTGCTTCCCGCCGACGACGCCGCAGCTCGAGGCGCAAGCCGTGCGGATGCACGAAACGTTGCAGCGATTTTCGATGGCGAAACTGAAGCCGTTTGAGGTGAGTTTTTTTCCTTCCCCTTGGTTTAAGGTAGGGATTTTTTTCCCTTGATTTGTTTTCCGTGCTGAGCACCAATGCTACCGATGCCAGGGAGCCAACTCCCACCACCTGGACCCTAACCCTATCGACCCATCAAACTCATGAATAGGGGACCAACGGCTTTTTACTTCCCTTCCGAAGGAAGGCGTGATCAGAGATGTGATGTCTCAGAATATCCCGGCGGCGCCGGCTGGGATTGAAGCCAGGCCTGCTGGGGTGAGAGATAATCACGCTTACCACTACACTACCGGCGCCGCTGAGGGTAGGGATGATCTCGTTTTTTGAATTGTTTTTTTAAGCATTTTAACCGTAGAACCGGTCATGCATCCTCCATCCCTTAAAAGTTTACTGTACACTGAGGCAAATAGACCTAAGAAGTTCATAAGGCTCGACTTGTCAACAACATATATGAATTCCATAAGCTTGACTTATGAATGATTTTCGGGCAACATGAGGTAGCTCTTATACGCCTTTAACCATTTCATTTTCCCAAGCGTTGAAAGACGAGTGATCAACACACGGGTCCCCTAACCTCAACGTCCATTTTCCGGTTCCAGTCTACGCCGGTTTATTATTTTTTGTCAATATTATTTTTTATAAGGCAAATAAATGAAGTTCACACTCATTTCTTATGGCTAAAATTCATATGGGTATTTCTTATTGAATTCTTACGTTCTTTTGCTTGCGTGTACAGTTCACCGTGATTCAGGCTATGAACCGCGTTTGACGGTTCGATTGGAACTTTTGACTTTATTTCTTGAATTTGTGTGGTTTACATGTATTCCCGCATAAACGCGAACCATAAATTGACCTTACCTAAAATGTTTAAAAATTGTTTATAATCCCTGCTAAACTTTAACGGAAATGGTTATGGAACTTTACATGAACGTTTAATGATAAAGTTTCAACCTTATGTATTATGGTTTTTTGGAACTGGACCTTACAAATAATGGGTTGTTAAGAACCATTACCGTTCAAAATTCTTGTTTTCTCCATACATTTTCGGAAAGAGAACTATATTAGAACCTTTTAACTTATGGTTTGAGAACTTTAATGGCAATGGTTATGGTAGTCAGTAAGGTCCACGAATGGTTTTGTAACATCGATCAACTTTATGTGGAATATATCGCGAATTGGTTGCCTGTAATTTACTGATTACTAATTCACGATATATTCCACGTAAAGTTGAGCGATAATTCAAAACCATTAATGGACCTTACTGACTACCATAACCATTACCATTAATGTTCTCAAATCATAAGTAAAAACGTTCTTATATAGTTCTCTTTCTGAAAATGTATGGAGAAAACAAGAATTTTGAACGGTAATGGTTCTTAACAACCCATTATTTGTAAGGTCCAGTTCCAAAAAACCATAATACATAAGGTTGAAACTTTATCATTAAACGTTCATGTAAAGTTCTATAACCATTTCAGTTAAAGTTTAGCAGGGATTATAAACAATTTTTAACCATTTTAGGTAAGGTCAATTTATGGTTCCAACTGCCTTTGGAAGTGTCTTACAGCTACCTGTGGAAGTGTCTTCAAACTGTTTTTGAAAGTGTCTTCCATCTGTCTTTGAAAGTGTCTTCCAACTTCCTTTGGAAGTGTCTTTCAGCTGCCTTTGGATCTGTATTCCAACTGCCTTTGGAAGTGTCTTCCAACTGCATTTTGAAGTGTCTTCCAACTGCCTTTGGAAGGGTCTCCCAACTGCCTTTGAAAGTGTCTTCCAACTGTCTTTGGAAGTGTCTACCAGCTGCCTTTGATGTGTCTTCCAGGCGCCAGTGGAAGTGTCTTCCAACTGCCTTTGAAAGTGTCCTCCAACTGCCTTTAGAAGTGTCTTCCAACTGCATTTGGAAGTGTCTACCAGCTGCCTTTGAAAATATCTTCCAACTACCTTTGGAAGTGTCTTCCAACTGCCTTTGAAAGTGTCTTCCAGCTGCCTTTGGATGTGTACTCCAACTGTCTTTAGAAGTGTCTTCCAACTGCATTTTGAAGTGTCTTCCAACTGCCTTTGGAAGTGTCTTCCAACTGCCTTTGGAAGTGTCTTCCAGCTGCCTTTGGATGTGTACTCCAACTGTCTTTAGAAGTATGTTCCAACTGCATTTTGAAGTGTCTTCCAACTGCCTGTGAAAGTGTCTTCCAACTGCCTTTGGATGTGTATTCCAACTGCCTTTGGAAGTATTTTCCAACTGCATTTTGAAGTGTCTACCAGCTGCCTTTGATGTGTCTTCCAGGCGCCAGTGGAAGTGTCTTCCAACTGCCTTTGAAAGTGTCCTCCAACTGCCTTTAGAAGTGTCTTCAAAATGCATTTGGAAGTGTCTACCAGCTGCCTTTGAAAATGTCTTCCTACTACCTTTGGAAGTGTCTTCCAACTGCCTTTGAAAGTGTCTTCCAGCTGTCTACTTTATCGACTTCTACTTTACCGACTCTAAAAATGAATCGACAAATATAGGGGGAGAGGTAGCTCATCGATTCTTCCGGTTCGCCTCCTAGCATCGTGCTATAAGGTACCAGGCGATAACCAGGATAGTTGATCGATAGCTCGATGACGTCATTTCGTTGACGTATGCAATGGGAAATTCTCATAGCAGGCGTTGACGATGGGACGTTGTCGAGTTGTTGAATAGCAACTATCGTGGTAACTCACCGATTACCTGTCGATCTGCCAAATTTGGAAAGACGTCTGCATTGAATTGTCTCATATAATAATATTCCACCCACTATATCACAAGAAATTGCGAGTAGCTGAGTGGAATGGAGATAAGTTAAGCATTGGGTACAGGACCAAGTCTCCCCTAGGTGGTGCCAAAAGATGAGCGCAATAGAATCATCAAGTTGCCATAAGGCACGAAATGAGACTATTGCATGGCTGGGTAGTCAAAGTCTTCCATTCGTTAGTCATTTCAGGTGGATTATAACAGGTTTAGGTTTAGGGTGGGCGTTGGCCAGATTTGGATTTTTCAGATATAATCCTGGATAGGACCCTGTCATTGAACGTCGCGTGAAAGTGGAACTTAATGAAGGCCTAAGTACTTTTTCGTAGTTTTTAGTTTTCGGATTTGAAAGATCGTCGGTTCCAGTGGCCTGCTTACTGAGCAGAAAAACGCGGTCCCAGGTCCTTACATATCAAAGAGATTTATGGTAAAATCGCTTGTGTATCGTGTATTTTGCGAAACTCGTTGTTGCCGTTGGTTCCGGGTTTGAATGGATACACAAATTTTAGCAACGGTATTATGTGATATGAGGGGCTCGGTGGCCTTAGAGCAACCGTTTTTGCTTACTGAGCAGAACATCATGAGTCTAATCTCAGGCCCATCTACATTCAAGATTCGTCAATCGTTTTATTTGTTAATATGACTACATGGTAATAACAGCAACTCGGTGATTAAAAAGGTGCTCGTCTGCCTAGTGGCAAACGTTTTTTCTTACTGAGCAGAAGACCGTGGGTTTAATCCCAAGCTCCTTCGCGTTATATGATCGTTAGGACATCAATTCAGCTTATCGTTTACCAAAACGAACCCTGCTGCAAACCCAACCCTCTTATCCAACATCCCAGTGATTCCTCGTGGAAGTGCAGAGGTGTTCTCGGCTTCCATCAAAGCGAGTGTCATGTCAACACAATCCTTCCCATTCCTTTCTTGACCTGTGTTCGGGCGCGGCCGGCGCTGGTATTGCCTAATTTAAGATCACCAGTTTTTACACATTGAGGATGATTGCTAGTTCCAAGCATCGTCTATTGGTTCTCTGTGTAATTACAGCTGATCTGGCAGTAACAGAGTAGCAACCGTGGGCGGTCAATCAAGCTCAAGCTCAAGCTCTAAAAATGAATTGACAAAACAAAACTGCCAGAGTCCAGAGCTTTCACTTATCTTTGGGGTTCGACTTGGGATTCGATCGTGGACTGTTGGGGTGTGCTGCTGCCGGAGTCTTCGTTCGATCTCACTGATGATGATGATTTCATTCTCCTGCGGTGGATAAATTAATCAGGAAAGGTGAAAATATTTTCCTCTTCCTATGCCTCACGGTGACAATTTTCACCCTCATCACTCTTTTGAGGGTTCCCATATTCACCGACAGAGGCTGATACAATCGCTTAGTTTCAATTGGATTCGCCAATTGTACCAGACTTATTTCTGATCAGGACAAACACCTTCTAGAAACTCGGAAGAGCAACAACAGAGGGATTTTCGAACATTATAATTTATTTTCGAAGTGTCAAATTTATGAGAAAATTCACCAAATTTCGAGTAACATTTGAAATGGGCCTATGTCCAAAACGTAAACAAATCGGATTTTGATACCATTCTTAAGCACCGCTTGATAGCTACTAATCGTGTAGGAAAGTTCAGCGTAATCGAGAAAAATCATTAAATCATAACTCGATTTTCAAAACGGTCGATCAACGAAATTTTTCGATTCATTATATTCACGATGAAACGGCCAACCATTAATTTATTTTATTTCATTAATAGCCTACACACTTAATTTTTTTTTTACAGAAATCTGGCTGTGTTCCTTTTGGTGAATTTTTACTTAAATTTGACAGATGGAAAATTTTCAAATAAACCTGCTATTCCAGCAGACTTTTTTCTGAAAGACAAGGAATCAATTTTGACAGATACTTTCTCGAACATCTTAATTTATTTTCAAAGTGTCAAATCTAAGTGATTTTTTTTTTCCAAATGGAATACAGCCTTAGGCTGTGTGTTGTAATTTCGGAATTTTCTCTAAAATTTGACACTTTGAAAATAAATTATAATGTTCGAAAATCCCGCTATTGTTGATCTTCTCATTTTCGAGAAGGTGTTTGTCAAAATTGATTCCTGTTCTGTTAGAAATAAGTCTGGTACAATAGCAAGTTTATTTGAAAAATTTTCATCCGTCAAATTTAAGTGAAAATTCACCAAATGGAACACTGCCCTTGACATTTCTTTTAAATCTTTTTATGCTAAAACTGTTCATTGTTGACACTTCATAAAGCCTCAATAGAACAGAATATTCTTACCGGATGTTTACAAGCGCGTTCATACCACACCGATAGGGTGCCCATTTTATCCCAACGATTTTATTTCTGTTTCAAAACGATCATTTCTTAAATCTTCTTTCATAAGATTCAAAAGTTTGATTTCAATGTTCAATATGTATTCATGATGTAAATAGGGCGTGAACCTATCCATTTGGTTAAAAAATCATTCGAATTTTCCACTGAATTTGGTATCATTAGTGCTTTAGTGCTGATTTGCTTAAGGTGACCAAACTGCCGACTTTCCCCTATATCGAACTCTCTTTATCCTGCGCCCTGCGGTTAATCTTTGTTGTTCTTTGTCGGAGTAGAAAGTTACGATGGTATCGGAATTTAAATATGTTTAGATGCATATTTATGAAGAAAACTAAAGTCCGAACTACCTATCGAAATTAAACGAAATTTAGTATGTATGTATGTATGCATGTATGTAAAGGATACCACTCGCTGTTGCAAGGCACAGCCCGAGGGGGAAGACGGCTTTTATTTGAGTAGCTCTCAAATTCTCTTTTACTCAGAGTCGCTCAGAGCTACTTCGGTTTGCTCTGGGATCTGATCTTATTTGCGACGAAAACAGAATTAGTATGGCATATAGACTTTGAAATCTGAACATGCAAATGTTAGTTCGGATGCAATATTTGAGGTTCATGGAATCCCTCTACTTCGCGTTTTCACTGGCACTTTCCATCCAGAAGTCATACAGGTGGGCAAATTTAATGAGATGCTTGTTTCTTTGCAGCAGACATGTAGCTTAATTTTGAACTTTGTCCATTAAGTAGATCGCCAGATGTGTGTCCGTGAAATTACGAAGTGGTTAAACCAAATTGTGTGGAAAATTGATTCCGTTAATACTGTCCTCGTTTTCTACCAGTTCATAGAGGTTTTGGCTATTTTCTTAAATCACTGTGGCGATGACTTTCTGCAGGACACTTTTCGTTTTACAATGGTAATGAAATTGTCCAGGATCTTGCCACCGTAATACTACTGAGCATCCAGATGCTTAGAATAAGCGAATAGATCGATAAACCCTTCGAGCAATCAGCTCCGGTGAAGACATATACTTGAGGATAAGTCCTGCGAGTTTCAAACTCCGATAAATGTAATTGCTTGGGCTGCGCTGTCAAAACAATCGAGATAATACAACCGTTCATCAGAGAGCAAGAGAGTTCCTCAGAGTTACTCTGGATTGCTCCGAGTTTCTCACTGTCTTCCTCCTCGGCACAGCCTTTAGACAGTGGACTGTCCACCTCGTATGACTTGATCAGGTAGATACCTGGTTGTATTCAATTTACCATTGTATGAAGGGTCAAAAACGGAGGGTTGAACCGTGAGCAGAGACACGTAAGTGTGATGCATAATAAAAAAGGTAGGTATGCATTCGACGCATACCTGCATTTCTACATTCTGCATTAGAATGAGTGAAGATTGCAAACTGGGATTTTGCATAGAATTTAGTCTATTTAGTCTACTTTTCATTTTAGAAATTAGACTGAGCTTGTTGAGCAATGGTTTCATCTTTTTTTTTGAAAACTGCATTAGAATTGAGTCATAAATTAATGTATTCATGCACACCCACTATTAGCAGCGTGTTGTAACCCGATTTCCATTTTCTCTCCCCTCCCTCCCAGGACCGTGCCATGAGAGAACTGTTGCCATTGGGCGCGTCACTGACGCAGCATTTAAATCAGCTCCTGCACTCGGCGAACCGGAAGTTTGGCACCTGGCAGGAACGACAGCGCCGTTCTCACAGGTAGCACTACTACTCGTCGTCCTGTCCGTCGCCGGCATCGTCCGGGTCGTCGGCTTCTTCATCACCGGCACACCACAACCACCAACACCACAACCATCATCAACCGTTGTCGTCGTCGTCGTCGTCCAATCATTACCACCACAACAATGTCCATCTATTTCTCTACGGTTCGTCGAAGCGGCGCCATCACAAATAGCAACCAAAATGCAGCAACAACGGTCCTCCTTGGGGAGATTCGTTCCGCATTATGTGTCATTATGATTCCAATGCTGGAGAAAGCGCAGAATGCGAGTAAAACCCAGAGTTAGATTTATATTTTTTCCAGGTATTCAGCGAAAACTATTCTGTTAAACAGTGGAAAAAGCAAGTGGGCGATTAAACAAAACATTCTTGGAAAAGTTGTACTGAAAGATAGTGATTTAATCATTACACAACACAAGTAGAAGAGATGAAAGGGAACGAAATACATATAATAGGAACATATGAAACAGAGCTAGGGAGACGAAGAAAGCATTAAAGGTTTAGTGATATTCAAAGGAAAATAATTACAAAATGGAAAATGTGATCAGTTCTCGAAGAATTGGCCTTTTAAACTGGTGTTTTGATTTTCCTAATCTCGTTAATAAGTTCGGTTTTTAGTTCTCCAAACATCCACTGTTTCCTGCTGCCTCACTCACTCTGATAAGGAAAAACTATTTAAAAAAAAAGTAATTAAACGGAAAAAAAAATCAAACGACTGAACCTGCCTTTCGAGTTAATCGGGGAAGAATTTAAAATTTCCTAAAAAAATTGGATCAATGAAGATTTGTTGAAAAATTCGAGTTGGAACAGGAGATCAATTACAATCCTCAAATTACCACTTCGTCCTTGTTTTAAACTCTGCGTTTAATTAATAGCTGATAGGATAATAATCGATTAACACTATATGTGAAGAATGTGTAGGGATTAAGGAGCTATTTCACAGCAGTTATTTTGTCGTAACTCTTATTTCGTCTTCGTTAAATAATTGGTTCGTTCCCTCGACTGGTTCCTATAATAGTAAATTTGCGGGATTTGTTTTTTCGTTATTTTTTTTATGTCAAAAGTGTTAAATTTTTCGGTTCGTTGAGATGAATAAAAGACGCAGATGTATATTTTTTTTTTGTAATAAATCAAAACAAAATAGCTTGAGATTTTGGGAAAGGAAAAGCGTACTACGGGAAATTTGAATAGTCTGAGGGTAAGAGGTGTGTGAAATCGAAGATAATAATCGATGATAGGCAACAAGTAAAAGAAATATGTTTGGTCTGGTTGATATTGAAGCAAATTGAAAAATGTTTGTACAGTGGGAAAGTTACTTGGGAAGGGGGTCCAGAGCAGAGAGTGATGAGAGATAGGAAGCAAATTAAATAGAAATAAACTGATCCGAATGGATGAAAGTAATTAACGCAAACAACACAATTACACAAACATGTATTCACCAGTATCGTTTATACGACAACTGAACACAACAAAATGAAGATGAAATTGATAGAACACAAAATATAAAACAAACTAAAATATTAAAATTGCGGGAATACTTTTTCGAAGATATCACACAGCCCCACAAAACGATGGGTTTCAAAATTTATCGGCAGAAGTGTGATGATAGGTCTGTCAGCATTATGTGTATCGCTTTATCGAAGTTTAATAAGTAACTTGAACGAAGAATTAATGCCCACAAAACTGTAGTGCAGAATGGTGTGCTGAGGTATTTCGAAACTGTCAATATCATGCGAAATAAGTCCGCGTCTTCACCAGTGTGTGTCGTTGTATTAATCTGATTGGTACAGTGTCTTTATATGAATAACCAAATTTGCTAAATGCGATATCAATGCGAATACTTCGAATAATTGTTTGTATTCTTTTTTCCTTTTATTTAACGTCGGTCTCTGTTCCGCAATCTACTACCAATCACCGACGGACATTCACGGCAATCGAATGTGCAGGATGGCAGCTTCCGCACCTGCGTAGGATATCGCACCCATTCAAACACACATGGGCCAGGACCAACGGCTTTACTTCCCTTCCGAAGGAAGACGAGACCAGAGATATTTATGCCTCAGAAAAATCCCACCGACCTTGGCTGGGATTGAACCCAGGGGCTTATTATGGATGTCACTTCACGGTGAAAACTTGTCACTTGTCATCACGGTGAAGTGATTCCCATTTGATTTGTACGGCAATCACGGCTCTTATTATGAGTATCACTTCCTTATCACCGTGTAGTGACATCGGTAATAAGGGCCCAGACTCATTGGGGTGAGAAAACAGTCACGCTTACCACTACACCACCGCCGCCGGCTAAATAATAATGGTTTGAAAAATATTAAGAGGTACGTCTCAAGCGCCTGCTCTCAACATAATGCGAGTACTTCCATAGTGCTTAGGGGTTAATCTACGATGCTAGAAATTACTGCTACGTATGACTAGAAAAACTTGCTCATGTAAGATAGAAGATGCAATCTGATACTGTAGAACGAGGAGAAGTTAATCACAAAACCGTTCAATTTTCCTTTCTCAGCAAACTTATTTGCTCATAAGAAATTCTTCAGTATTTTATTAAGTAGTTGTTAATAGTTCTCTTGCTACGAAAATCAGGGAATTCAATGTTTGGCCTGGAAACTCAGAGCATTTTCATTAAATTCAGGGAAATATTTCTCAATCCTTATTCATAACTGCATTACAAACTATATTGATATCACCAATCATGTAGGAAAGCGAAACAGACGGCTAAGTCCAGTTTGGTCCATCTCACCAGGTTTTGTACGTAGGAAGTTATTGAAGTTTGCGGGCTTAGCATTATATTCAAATTCAAGGTTTAAAAATTGATTTTGAATCAATTGAGTTTTGACGAATTCCGGATTTATTAGTATTTTTAATATTCTAATCCTGATAGATTATCAAGGTTTCGCGCTCATGAAATTTTTTATGATTTTGAATTTTGTTTTGTTTAAGCCCCCAGTCTTAAAACAAAAACCAAGTTTGCGGGTCATTTGAGATTTATCGAACTTTGGACTTGGAAACAAATTAATTAAGATCTTGGAATATGGAAAAAAAAATTAAAGGCTCAGAGCAAAACAAACTTTTAACTCAAGATCCCGGATTTAAAAACAAAATCACGGACTTTGAAAAAATATTAAGAAGATTCCAGACATAGCAACATCTCGAACTGGGAGCAATTTCAAAGATTTTCGAACATGTAAACAAATTCAATATCTCAAATTAAGAAGAATGTTCAATCTCCTCAATTTTCCTTTTTTTATGATCCTGAACTTTGAAAAAAATATAATAATCTCAGAGGTTCTAAACTAAGAATTATTTTCAAGATTCTAAATTAAGGCATTTATAATGTTTCTTTTGAAGTCCTAGGGTTTGAAAAATTACTTTAAATATAATAAATTGAGATCAGCTTAAAAAACTCAAACCAAAATTTGAGTTGTATGACTTGAGAAAATCGATCCCGGATTTGTGCAAATTTCCAATAAAGTCATTTAATATCTAGACGCACCAAAAAACGGATGTATTTCGGAACCATCTTAATGAAATAAAAATGTTGAGTACCGTAAAACGGGGCAACATTGATAGTTTTTTGAAGTTTATTCTAAATATTTTTTACATCAATTAATGTTTCTCAAATTTTATTTTTTTTTAAATAAGTACTGACGATCCTAGAGTCAATTCGTTAGTAATATATTTAACGAAACTTATTGCATTTGCACTATTTTTTTAGTTTTGTGACTGAACATCAGTATTTTGATTTGGGGTTACTTTGATAATGCTTGTTACTGTTGAGATTATTTAACGTAGATTTTGTAACATATTAATTAAATGTTTGTTTGTTAGTAGGTTAGTAAAGTAAATAATTATAAATGTTAGTAAATGTTAATGCTAAAAATTGATAAATACTCCGGAGTAGCTAATAATAAGGACATAATTTGTTAACACACTTCACACCACAACACACACTACACAACAGCATGAAGTGAGCCAAAAAGGGAAAACAAGAGTTGCCACAGATACCGGGACTGGACACGTCAAAAAGGGAACATGAACAAAGGGTATGGCAAAAGGAGGGTCAAGCTACCGGGTAATAACTTGATAAGCGTCTTTCTTATCGAGAGCTTCGAAGCGTTAAGTTTGCTATCCTCCATAAAAAACAAATCAGAGATAAAGTTAAAGATAAAGAAGTTTATTTGAAATCACCGTTACCAAATTTGATTTGGATGTTAAATAGGAATCAGGGCCCATTATTAACCGCCTGAATTGTCCAGAAAGTTATCCGCCATTCCGGCGTGCGATTGGACTTCTAGCGCCGACGTCTGAAGGAGTGTGATCCGCCAATCCGGCGTACGATCCGTCCCTCTAGGATTCAGCGTAGGCATTACCCCGAGCCTCAAGGCAAAGGCGACATTCCCGCAATTCGAGCTTGCATCCGGCCGCATCGTGAGACACTACCCACATACACACACACAGTAAGTCGAAATAAAAGAACTAATTAAAAAGAGAGAAAGTGCTTTCAATTCCTTGATCGAACATTCTGTATATACCTACAGCCGACCCTGAAGGATCTTCTTTCATGCTCGAGCTAAAGCCACCACAAAAGAGGTTGTTGTAGAACCCACCCTCAGTGATCCCCGTTGGCTAGACCAGGGATCGAGGGCCTAGCGAAGTGTTCCGTCTGACCGCTTTTAACATGCTCGATGAATGTAGAAAAACATGCGTGAATCTCAAACAATTTAGTTAAATAAATATGAAACATTGAATGAGTATATAATCAGAAACACCATTAGCAATAATAAGACAACATTGCATTTGTGATGGCTGCATCAGAAATACATTTCATACGTGATGGTTTGAGTGCTTTTTTAAACAGACAAAAAGCAAGAAAATTGTTTTTCAATATGTTTGGCAAACATGTAACACAAACTATATAAACATTATATGCGATATCAAGGGAAACGCCCTAAGCTACAATATGGAACCGATGTTTCTAATTCAGAAAAAAAAGGTAGATAGTAAATTAAATAATTATATTCTACTATCAAAGTTATCCGCATAATCAAAGATACCCCGTTTTACGGTACCTAAAATGAAGGGCATTTATTACACTTTAAAGGAAAAATAGCGAACAAAATTATTCCGATTTGGTTTAGATGAAATCTCGAAATCTCTCTTCGAATACCACTCATCAAATTTTGGACACTCTGTTGGCTAACCTGAGCGGCCGTTTTGTTTCATCTCTGTCGCATCCCGAGCTACCCTTCCACTTTTCCTCAACTTCTGTTTGACAATTGCCCAATATTTCTCAATTGGGTGGAATTGAGGGCAGTTGGGTGGATTGATGTCCTTTTCGAAGAAATCCACCCCGTTGTCTCGATACCACTGTAGAACTTCTCCGCTGTAGTGGCAGCTTGCCAAATCAGACCAAAACTTTACAGGTCCATTGTGAGCCTTAATGTATAGAATAATACGTTTTTTCAGGCACTCCTGCTTGTACATTTTGGAATCCTTAGTCTTGTTTTTCAGGAAAACATGCTAGGGACATCACCTCGACCAGTGGCTTTATAGAACTTTTGTCCGGGAAGCCGAGGGGGGCGACACATCTAAATCTCAATTCTAGGTGCTCAACATATCTCACACTAGCGAATCAATCTTCGAAAAATTTCTTTCATTTCTCACATCTACTTGCATCGCACATCATCTTTTTGCAACAAATCTTCAGAATCGTCATCAATCTTCTTTCTATGTACTCAGCGTGCGCGCAGCTAACCACAGAAAAATACAATTTTTCCTACATCGTAGATAGAGTCGCCCCCCTCGCGGGAAGCTGCCCATATAATCCATGTTTACGTCCGTTTCGTCGTCCATGAGGATGCATCCTTCGTACTTTGTAAGAACCTTATTGTACAACTTCCGGGCACGTCTTTTGGTAACTAGATTCTGCTTCAGTGTCCTGTTTGGTTGCTTACTGGCCCGAAAAGATCGAAATCCTTCTCGCTGACGAATCTTTCTGACGGTGCTTTGGCTGGCATTGCATTTTTTGGCGATATCATAATCCGACAGCCCTGGGCTGCCCTAACCGTTCTCAACACCTTCAAATGCAGCTTCCGATTATAGTTCCACTACGACGCTTGCTATGATCCTGCCGATCGATAGTATGCCGCTCACGCAAACGTTTTAGAACACTGCACACGGCGAGGCACACGGTCTTACTTACTTACTTAAGGGTCCTGTGCACCACCAGCGGTGCAAAGGGCCAACGTGAAAGACTTCCATCCTGGGCGTCTGCTCGCTTTTGCCTTGACCTGGGCCCAGGTCAGATTCCTATCGACTTGTTTAATTTCTTTATTGAGGCTCCGCCGCCATGAGCCCCTGGGTCTGCCTCTGCTGCGATCCAGCGCTTGCTTGCAGATTTCGTTTCCACCCCGTCGAAGTGTGTGGCCGACCGACCTCCACTTTTGCTCTCGAATTTCTGTTGTTATCGGCTTCTGATGACATCGACGATGGAGCTCGGCATT